TGACGCAAACAAACACATGAACACCAAATAAAATAAAAAATCTTAACCGTAAAAAATCTTGAGTGAGTGAAAAAGATTAAAACTAATAAATTCCATAAATGAATGAAAAAATGATCGAATGAGCGTGCGAATAAAGGAATAAAAACTAATTATGATACTGATGACGAGGATGGTAATGATGAAAAAAAACGAGGACGATGATGATGATAACGATGGAAAAACGAAAAAAACCAAAACAATTGAAAGAAAGCACTGAAACATAATCATGGAAACAAACTTTACATCACGTTGTATGGTCTCTCATTGTTTGTATGTATCTGTGTTTGTTTGTATGTATGTATGCTTGTATGTATGTGTGTTTTTTTGTATGTATGCATGTTTGTATGTATGTATGCATGTATGTATGTATGTATGTATGTATATTTTTTTATTTATTGTTTACATTTATTGAATTGTATACTTGTTGTTTGGTTGTATGCCTGGCATTTTTCTTTTTGTATATTCTGAGATACTTTTGTATCTTCGAGTTTTTTTTTGTATATGTATGTTAGTTTGTGTGTGTGTGTGTGTGTGTGTGTGTGTGTGCGCGCGCGTGTGTTTGTATGCACTGCGTGAATCGCGAGCTCTGCATCATGTCATTTCAATTTTTAATGTACTTTATATGGCTCAATTTTTCATTCTTTCATTCATTTTTTTCACTCAATCCTTCAATCAATTATTAAATCATTCATCAATTAATTCATTAATTAATTCATTTACTCATTCATTTATTATTCATTCCCCTACTCAGCTTCTCCAAACACACAAGCCAGACTCATCATATTTTGTACCGGCTTATTTTAACATTCATCTTCGCGCTCTGCAGACCGCATCTTTTCTCATTCATTTATTCATTCTTTCATTCATTCGTTCGTTCATCTACTTGTTCTTTCATTAGTTCATTCATTTGTTTTTCATTCATTCATTCATTCATTCATTCATTCATTCATTCATTTATTCATTCATTCATTCATTCATTCATTCATTCATTCATACTCCATTGTTTGTTAGTTCATTCATTCATTCAATCATTCGTTCGTTCGTTCGTTCGTTTAACTATTTTATTTATTCATTCATTCATTCCGTCAATCATTCACTCATTTATTCATTCACTCGTCCACTCAACTTTTTTCTTCGAGTATAAACTCCACCAATTTGTATAACATTAATCCATCTATCCATTTATCCATCAACCCATCTGCTTCTTAAAAGTTAGACATACAATCACATCCACACACATACACACGCACGCACATACAAACATCACGCACACACGTAAACACACACAAACACACATGCACGCACGCACGCACATACAAACACACACACACAAACATAGTTAACTTAAAATTTAATAATAACATAACAACAGCAGTAATAAGATGAATTTTAACAAAATATTTACCGCCAAAAAATAAAATATTTTTATTGAAAAACAAAAACAAAAATAATATATATATATATATATATACATATATATATATATATATATATATATATATATATATATATGTATGTATGTATTTTCATATACATTATACATCGATATGTTTAGTTTAGGTCATTTTTTAATTCATTAACTCGATCGCTTAATCAATCATTCATTCATTCATTTATTGACATTCAGTCAGTCAATCTTACGCCCATAAGTTTTAAGCATACACGAGTTTCATTCCTCCACTACTTCCGCGTGTTCTTCATTCAGTCGTTCATTCCTAATGACTAAAATGACTAAATCTTTTTATTCATTCACAGACTTTTTCATTTTCTCGACCCATCTATCCGACAATCAATTAGTCCATCAAACAGTCAATCAATCAGTCAATCAGTCAATCAATCAGTCAATCAATTAGTCAATCAATCAATCAGTCAATCAATCAGTCAATCAATCAATTAATCAATCAACCAACCAATCAATCAATCAATCAATCAATCAATCAATCAATCAGTTGTTAAGCCCACCGATCCATCAACGTCTCTTTCTTTCCTTCTAAGTTCCTTCACAAACCATCAGTTAGACTCTTTTTAAAAGATAAAAAAATTCATGCTTTTATTTAAATTTATTCTTTCATTCATTCATTCATTCATTTATTTATTCATTCTTTCATTCATTCATTTGATCGTTCGCTCGTTCATTCGTTTTTTCTCTTTTCTTTCAATCTTGTCATTATTTTGTTCTTTCAAGTGCCGGCTATTTTAAATTAAATATTGCATCTCGTCTCTCTCTCTCTCCCTCTCTCTCTCAATCTCGGAGGAGACCCGTTTTATTTTAAATCCACTTCTTAACTTTTTTTTCTTTCTTTCACTCTCACTTATTTTGGCTTGCTTCTCTCTCTCTCTCTCTCTCACTCTCTCCTTCGTTCTTTTCCATTTTTCATTTAACAGTCAAGTATCTATATCCCCCATTTTAAAATCAATTTTTCATTTTTCAGTTTTTCGTTCACCTAATCGTGATCTCTCTCTCTCTCTTTCTCATTTTTTCCTCTTCATACCATTCATTCATTCATTCATTCATATCTTTCTTTCTTCATTCTCTCTTTCTAGCTCACCTAATTATACTACATCGTTCTCACTTTCTTTCATCCACTTTAATTCGTTTATGTAATTATATATTCCCTTTTTTTCACACGCTCTTTTTCTGTTTCGATCTTTCTCTGTCTCTCTCCTTATCTCTCTCCCTCTCTCCTTATCTCATTCATTTAATATTGATGAGCTTATAGATAATTAATCACCGATAGCCAGAAAAACTGCATGTTATAAATATGCAGTCATTCTGATGTAAGCCCACAATCCGTCTACATTTATTCATTATCATTACTCTTATTATTTAAAAGAATAATTTAAATATAATACTAATAATAAAATAATAATAATATAATAATAATAATAGCAAAAGTAAAAACCCATATTAATAAATGTTCAAAAGTAAAAAAACTGCAGAGCGTATATTCGCATTAAGGAACTAATTTACATTTAGATCCAGTATAAACACGTTTTAGGATAGGTCAGACACACACGTAGACATACATGCACACACACACACACATACAAAAACATTCACATACACACACATGCATACACACATGCATATATACACGTACGTACAAAAACACAGTGACCATAAAGTGAGTGTGGAACGCATTATTAAATATACATCTGGTTCACATAAAAATAAGAAATAATAAGGCTGAAAAAAACACACACACATACACACGTACACAGACACGTACATACACACAAACAAACACGAACATGCCACAAACAAACCCATGAACATAAACAATGATCTTTAATAATTCATAGCTTGATACGTGATATACTACCAGTGCATGGCTACCAATTACCTATATACAAACGCCAACATACATACATAAAAGCATACAAATATATAAACATATATATATATATACCAACATACAAGCAAACACACATTCGTAAATACATATATACCAACGGAAAAACATACAAACAAATATACATACATACAGATAAACACACATACCACCATACATACATACAAAAATTCTTACAACGTCAGTTGCAGAGATACTGCCAGCTGAAGTATTATTATCAACAGTACAGAGAGTAGTATTAATTTTGTACTGTAGTAACAATAAAAATAGAAGTAGTAGCAGCTGTAGTAGCAGTAACAATAGTAGTGGTGGTAGTAGTAGTAGTAGCAGCAGTAGCAATAGCAGTAGTAGTGGCATCAACACGAGTAAAAGTAGCAGTAATATATCAATTACATTTTGCTATGGGACACTGTGTTTGAAACGGCTCACGCCTTATGCACACATACACACACACCACACCCACACATACAAACAAACATACATAAATACATACGAACATACATACAAACACAGATACAGACCAGCTTAAGTACAAAAGCATTTATAATGCCGGTCACGTACGAAAACATGAATACAAACAGACAAACTAATGAACTCAAATGTTTATGAACACACACACACACACACACACACAGAAACGCATACATACAAGCCTACATACTTAAACACATTTATTCATAATAAACATTAATACAAATATAGCGAGCGACAGAAAGTGAAACTATAATAATATAATAAAGTTACTCCAAGCTATAATTAAAACTTCACAGTGTGAGATTCGTACGTAGGAATTGAACCATAGTGCACAAACTTGTACCTCGTTATATAAACACTGGCAATCAATACCCAACAGTCACTTGGACAATTTCAATCCCCGCTCTGAATATGACGAATGTGTGACGTCACACATATTATTATTATTGCTTCTATTTTTATTTAGAAAAAAGAACAAGACTCCAAGTACAAATATGAACAATTTGTATTATTCCCCAAACTGATGATATCAAGAGAGAAAGAGAGAGAGAGAGAGAGAGAGAGAGAGAAGAATGAGAAGAGAAAAATTAATATTTTTTTAGCTACTATTAATTAATCCACAATTTATCAATAGGTAATCAATCAGTAGTCATTGGACAAATAACAAAAAAATAATAATAACAATAATAATATAAAAAATAAATAATAAAAATTAATAACAATCATTATAATGGAGCATTGTTGGCTGGCTTTCTTACCTTAAAACTCAATCAAAATTCAAGATTCCAGCAATCATCAACAACAACAACAACAATAATAATAACAATACCAATTATTTTTAATAATCATAAAAAACCATATTAATAAGCTGATCAGATTAAGCAATTAATTGATTGATAGATCAATTAATTAATCAGGCCGGTTTAAACAAATCAATTAACTCGCCTAAACAGTAGGATATTAATTTTCCGAGATAAAATGGATTAATTGATCCGGGACGAACGATCCGAACTAGTCCCGATCCAACTAGATCCGTGTTGAACGATTAACCGACCGGACAGAGCGATTAATTAAATAAAATGAATTGGTAGAGAAAGAATGGAAGTAAAAGAACAAAGAAAGTAAATAAAAGACTTAATAAACCCAGCGTTATTAATAACAACAACAACAATAATGATAATAATAAAAAAAGCAATAATAATGATGGTTAACAGTAAAAAAATACCATTTACAAATCTAAATAAATAAATAAATGGATGAATAAAACAAAAATATCTATTATAAAAACAAAACTTCTAAATGGAAATACAGAGATAAATTCATATTTCCCATTCATTTTTACATGCATTCATTCTTACATGCATTCCTTCGTTCACTCATTCACTCACTCACTCATCTGTACATCCGTCCCACTCATCATTCGTCCATCTCTTCATTCATCCAATTTATCTATTTAATCAATCATTCACCGAACCTGCCTATCATTATATATATATATATATGTATGTGGTAGTTCAATTAGTTAAACAATCATTTACACCCATATATTAACAATCAATCAATCAATCAATCGATCAATCAATCAACCGACCGATCAATCAATCAATCAATCGATCGATCGATCGATCAATCAATCAATCAATCGATCAATCAATCGATCGATCAATCAATCAATCAATCTTAACAGTTGAATATATCTTCTTGACGAACACACTTGATCCAACGTAGCTTACAGTACCTGCGTATTTGAGCATTTGTATATTTGTGAATGTTTTATACGTGTGTGTGTTTGTATGTTTGTTTGTATCTCTTCAAATTGTGTGTTTGGATGTGTGTATGTGTGTACGTATGTATGTGTATGTGTTTATCGCTATGTCCATCAATGCTTACGTATGTGTGTGAATTTTAACGTATGTATGTGTTTATTGATAAAATCAATTTTTATTTACAGTAAACATCTTACTACTAATACTACTACCACTACTACCGCTGCTTACAACGACTGCTGCTGCTACTACTGCTACTTCTATTGCGGCTGCCACTACTACTACTATTACTACTAACCACACATTGTTCCAAGAGCCATACTGAAGAGAGCCATGTAGCCAAAGTAGAAAGATGTTTGGAACATTCCATACATTCTAGAAAATGATGACGATGATGATGACGACGACCATGATGATGATGATCAACATCATTATCAACAATAACATCACATATCAACGCCAGCACCGTTCAGCATTTTACTTAGTTTCAAAAGAAGAGACGTTAGAATGAGCGGACGCGGGTATACTACAATCACAGTTATTACTGCCGGCTAATAATCTCTATGATCATCATCATTCCTATCATTATCATCATCAACATCATCATCATCATTCTTATCATTCCTATCATCATCATCATTATTCTTATCATTATCATCACCATTCCTATCATCATCATCATCATTCCTATCATTATCATCATCGTCGTACTTAGTTTTGAAGAAGAAGTAGTAGAAGGAGTAGACATAGACGTAGACGGCCGTAGACGCTCCAGCCAGGAAACTGGTCCACTGCCTAGTCGTCGTCATGGTGGTGGTGGTGGTGGGTGACAGGTTGTAACGATGACAATGATGGTTATGTTCCTTTATTCAAACACTAATCAACCAGGCAATCAACCAGGCAATCAACCAAGCAATCAAACGACCAACAAACCAACCAACCAACCAATCCATTAACCGTTCAACCAACCAACCAACCAACCAACCAACCAATCCACTAACCAACCAAACCAACCAATCCACTAAACATTCAATCCACCAACCAATCCATTAACCATTCAACCAACCAATCAATCCAACCAACCAATCAACCAATCAATCCACCAACCAATCAACCGACAAACCATCTATAATCTTCAGCATTCAGTAGGAAGTAGGTGCAGACGATAGTCACGCAGATGGTAACGATGATGAGGATGATGAAGACGAGCAGCATGAAACCATAGACGTAATATATCTTGTAAGCCCAGAAAGATGTAAATATGAAGTACCTGTCGTTGTAACAGACACACAAACCAATAGACAAACTAAAAGACAAACAAACAAACAGACAGTAAAAACTTACATCTCAATCAATCTACCATTCAAATCAATCAATCAATCAAAAACGATCAATCAATCAATCAATCAATCAATCAATCAATCAACCAACCAATCAATCCACATTCCCGAGAAATCCACAACTGCAATCAAGCCACAACCCCAGCCAATCGATCTCAGTCAATTAATTTCCAAGTGCAATCAATCAGCCCACATTTCAATGAATATAGATCCAAAGGGCAGAACGCCGCCGATGATGGCGATGATGGCAGGCTCCATGAACCACTTCTTCTCGGGGATGGGCCTGGGGACAGCGTTGACCCTGCAGGGGTAGTTGGGCTGGCCACTGAGGTTGCGCCCCAGAACTGTGCCCACCAAGTTTAGTGGGAGGATGACAAACACGCAAATGCACACAACTGCTAGCTGTTTTTGTGTAGATTTCGATTTCGTTAATGGCTCAATAGAATGATGTCATTCATCGTATGATGAGTAACTAGTCAACCAACCAATCAACCAACCAACTAATCAATACAACACCAATACCAATCAATCAAACAAACAAACGATAAGCTGGATAAAGCATAAACGCACATGCATATACTGATGAAATCTTGGACCCCCCTACTTTCTGAAACCCCCCCTTACTAACCATAGTAAAAATGTGGATAGTACGGGCTGAGTGATAATAGATGGAGATGATGTTGATGGTGAATGCAGTCCCGCCGACCAAAGCAGGCAGTAGGAATGAACTGACAACCATTTGCTTGATCCACAATTTTCCTGATGTGTGTGCATACGTGTGAGTGTGCATACGTGTGCATGCGTGTTCACGAGTATGTGTGTGTATTGTTGATTTGATAAAATTTGAGCATGTTTGTGTGTATATATATCGATTCTTCACGATTCTTCTTATATCAATTCAAGCACACACAAGTAAGAACTTATGTGTATTTTTTTCGTATGTCCATGTCTATGTGTGTTTGTGTGTGCGTGTTTGCATGCATGTGTGTGTGTGCGTGTGTGTTTATTTGTGTCAATAGTAGCAGCCAACCTCCCAATCTGCTGTACAGACTGCCCCCAAAGTATCCATTCACTGGGCCAGTTGCGGCAAACACGAATATGGCGGTCGTCAGCAATGAGCCCCGCCTAATTTTAGTGACGAAAACAAACAATGTACAGTACAAGTTGGAAGTTAGCAAATCGACGCCATCTTGCTCATCAGAGCCACATCATTCACCCTGCCACTACCACACCACCTCATCCATCCTCATTACTAACTCGGTGTAGAGCTCGCCAACGATGGCAATGACGATAGTGCAGAGAGCCACGAAGGCTATCTGGTAGCCAGTGCCGATGAGGGACGAGAAGAGGATGGGGTAGCTTGGAGGCCTGAAGACGTCCCCGTGAACCTGCTTCCAGCCGTACTCATCCCCGAGGTCTCGTTCCTGTGTGTGGTGGAGGTGGTGATACTGTAATGAAATGTAATATTGTTGTTGATGTTGTTGCAGTCTATTGGAATGTTGTTGTTTTCATCAATTCTTGTGGTAGTTGTTGTTACTAACTAGAAAAAGATGATAATACAAGAGAAGCACTGACTAAGTGAGAATGAATGAAAAGATGATGGATGAGTAGTAAAAAAAATAAATTCACACAATCATTCGCACTCACACATAAGAGAGAGAAGCATGAGAAACCAAAAAAGCTAGAGAGGAGAGAGAGAGAGACCACAACAGCAGCTAACCATCTCATCGATATCATCCTCTTTGCTGTAACGAGCGTAATCTTTCCTAAGTGTCCTCATCAGAATCATACTAACCAGCCCAACTAGGAAGATGACCATCATAAAAGAGTTGAATATGGAGAACCAATGAATCTGTGTGCATGGGTGTGTGTTTGTGTGTGTACATGTTTGTGGCTTGTTCAGTTCTAATCAATCAACTATCAGCTATCAATCAATCAATCAACCAACCAGCCAACCAATCAATCAATTAAACCAAAACAAATTAGAACCAACTCTATGTTGAAAGAAATTAGGTTCGAGGTACTTATCAAATCTGTCCGCAAATTTTATCTGGGATGGGACCCACTTCACCTGGAGCATCACGGTAAATAATAATAATAATAATCATCATCATCATATGATGATCATCATCAACACAACATCATCACCAAAATCACAATTATCATCATCACTCTAAACACAGTCATCATTCTCATCATTAACTTTTTACAAAAAAAAAGTATGAATGAATGCATAGATGAATGAATACATGGATGGATGAATGAATGCATGGATGGATGAATGAATGCATGGATGGATGAATGAATGGACGGATAAATGAATTCATGGATAGATGAATGAATGCATGGATGAAAGGATGATTGGACCATTTTACTTACCTCATAGTGCAGCTTGATGTCGACGGCCGGATCTATCTTCACTTTATCCTCAGTCGTCAGGTTAACCTCTACAATCCTATTGCCGTTGTAACCTGTGTGGTACATTTATACACATGTATGAGTGTCTTCTTTTCTGTTGATACCTCTGAGAAATACTAAAGAGAGATATGATAAATGAATGATTTGAGCGAATATATGAATGAATAAATGGATGAATGAGTGGATGAGTGAACGAACAAATGTATGAATGAATGAATGAATAAATGAATGGAAAATATTAAAACGCAAAGGCTACTCTAACATAGGTGCATAATATGTCTAAATGAAAAAATTGATGAATGAACAAATGAATGAATAGATGGAGAAGTGGATGAATCAATGGAGAAATGAATGAATGAATGAATGAGAACATTATTAAAACAAAAGACTACTACCACTACTACTAACCAATTTGAAAGTTCTTGTGGGTGTATATGAATAGCTCATCTTCTGATTTCGGCTTTTCCCCAACTGATCCTATATTAAGAAAGGATGAATAAATCATTTTTCTTTCAACTAAAAATTAAACCCCCGCCCTCTTTCCTAATCCCCTAACTGACCCCAGATGGGTAGGTCATCCATGTACATCTGGTACCAATAATTGTTCTTAATGGCATAGGCGAATGCTTGGTACTTCACTTCATCCATTTTTATTTCGCAGTAAGACTGTTTGGCGGCATCCTCTGGTTAAGTTATTTTTAAAATTATTATTTGTTAAATTTTGCTGAGGGGATATCTAAAAATTAAATTATTCAATGTTTTAATTTTATTTTTAAAAATTTTATATGAAAAAATAATGATTTTAAAGTATCAGGAACCTATGCTTCAACTTCCCCAGCATAACCAAATTATAACAAAATGAGCAATTTAAGGCTGTAAGCCAAGGCAAGTTTTTTTTTAATACAAGCCAACTAAAAAAAACAAAGTCAATCTTCTAAAATTAAAATGAACATGGAAAGAGTGGAACACTAAGATTTAACCAAAAAAACGCAATCAAAACCCACTTTTAAAATCAATGTCAATGCCACTGAATGTCAGCTCCACACCTTGGAGCGCCTCTCCAATTGTTTCATGGTGATGTAGAACAGATGACACTGGGCCCAGACAAAATGGCAGAGTTGTGTAAATGTAAGTTTCCTGCTGATTGTAATAGGGGCCCACCGTATTCATCCACAGTACTACCTGCTCGTCATCTTGATACTGAGTTGGGTGTAGTCAACAGGAAGGGAATTAATTTTTTTGTAGATGCTAAAAAAATAGCCTATAAAGCATCATAATGAATGAATTTTTATGCCAAAAGTGGTAAATTAACAAACATTTGATAAATAAATATTGAGATAAGAAAGTAGTTGTGTTAATTGTGACTCGGGTCCTAATTTACTAACGATATGATCGTGTTCATCGCCATTTGTAAAGGTAAGTAAAACGGCAATAATCAGGGTTTTTAAATGAATACAATTTCTCATATTTCACTAGTTATTTCCGTAATTTAAGTTGGAAATTATATAAATTATTATTTTAAACAATTTTTTAATTATTAAATCATTAAATTGAGAAAATATGAAACGGTTTCTGACAATAAAAATAAGAAAAAATACAAGCGCAAAATTTATTTGCGGCCACGTCACACATGTAACATAATTTTATATGTAAATGTTAAGCGCCAAATAAACTTTATTTTATTTTATTTTATTCATCAAATTTACTCATTTTTGTGTATCAAGTATACATTTTAAAGAGTTTTGGCAATTTTAATTAATAAAATTATATAAAAATGTTGCTGTAATGGCTACTAATAGATCATTTTGACAATTTTTATGTCTTATACCTGACTATATTCCTTAATTAATTTCTAAACTAGTGCTAATTTTTTATAGTTAAAAGAAGAATTATCTTAAAATAGCGTATTAAAACATATATTTCACTAACATTAAATTACTTTTAAAGATATTTTATTGCATTTTTTTTATCAAAGTTTAGGTTACCTTTTGTTTTAGGATAAAAATTCCTTGTATTATTATTGATTAGATTAGCATGAAATGAACAGATGTTTTTATATTTTGATCAAAAGTGATGACTTTCTTATCAAATTTCTGCTTTTTTTTTAAATAAAAATTTTATTTAATAACCGCAAAAAGTATGGAGAAATTTGGAAGGGTGTTAAAATTGAGTGAGATTCTGTTAATTAATTATTATTTTATTGATTTTTAGCATTTTTAAAAAATGGATTATTTATTTATTTTAAAATATAAAGATAAATAAAATGCCATATGTTCGTGGTTTAAAATGTAGATTAATAAATGTTTATTAATCCTCTTTTATTATTGATCAATTATTGCTTAGAAGACCAAGACATCATTGAGTTTCTCCTTTTAAAAAATCTTAAAAAGTTAAAATAAAATGAATTCAACCTTTTTTTCTTCTTATCTCTTACTTTTTAAAAAAATAAATAATCAATTTTTCAAAGAAATTAATTTTTTCATTGTATATAATATTGTATGCACATGGAATAGGTAAATTACATATATTAAATGTGATATAACATAGATAAGCGTCATAGCCCATGTGCAAAGAATTCAACACAAACCAAACATACATTTGACATGACAGATTAGAGATGTCGTTTATTAGTAATTACTGTTGTTTGCCTGTTTGTTTGTTTGTGTTCAAATATTGTATTGTATGAGTGTGTGTATGTACACGTATATGTGTGCCTGAATGTATGTATGTATGTATGTGTGTATGCATATGTATGTATCATACCAATAAAATGAAATTTTGCTGAAGTAAGGATGATTTCATTCATCCTTAAAGGAGTTTTATCATATATTATATTATATTATGTAGTATTATATTATATATGATGCTAATTATATATTGCAATATAATTATACTGAAGAATTGAATGCTTATATGAATTATTTATACTTATATTTATACTATATGTAATACTTTCTATATATTTGATCATGCTTTATAATTGAATAGTACACATGACAAAGTTAAAGACTAAGGAAAATTTGCTATAAAAAAATCACACAGACACACGCAAGCACACACACACACACGCACACACACAAGGTTTATATATATTTAGAAATGAATTTAAAAGTTGCAATTAATAATTTTCAGAATCAACATCAGCCCATGACACTACCCAATACAGAAAACTCCAGCAGGACATAATGGGTGACGACGACGATGATGATCGTGATAATGGCGACGATGACGACGACGATGATGTCGTTTTTCTTAGAAAAGGCATAGAATTCAAGCAACAGAATGGCTATGACGTAGATAGGCACCGGCCCCAGCATTTCAAGTACCAGCACAGGCCCAAATTAGGGAAAAATAAATTAGTGAAAGATAAATTAGGGAAAGACAAATTAGGAAAAGATGCTGTTGATGATGAAGACGATGACGATGACGATGTCACTTCTGCTACTACTGATTTCATAATAAAGAGAGGTATTTATAAGAAGGGCTCAGATGGGATCCAGGTATAATTATTATTATTACTACTTTTATCACTAGTTGTTGTTGTAGCAGCAATGGTTGTAATACTGTCGTTTTTTAGCATTTTTATGTGAAATGATATCATTATATCTATCTATCTAACGCAAATTAGTTGTGAAATTGATCACATACAAAGAAAAAATAAATTTCATATTCCCCAAAAGATTAAAAGTGGATTGATGAAAAATAGGATCCTTACTAAGAAAAGATTATCAATAATCCTAATCCTCTTCCTGTTGGTTTTCATCATCTCTCTCGTTTCGCTACTCCATCACCGTCATCGTCATCACCACCATCACGGCGCTGGTGGTGATGACGATGGCTGGATGCAGGAAATTTCAAATTTTGGTAGGGCGTTTTTATGATTATCATTATAATAATAATTATTATAAATAATAATAACATCATGACATCATCAGAATCGTCATCAAACGTAATTCTATTCGATGTTGATGGAGACGGCGAACGTGACGTCATCATCAGCATGACCTCTGACCTCAACCTGACCCGACACGACCTCTTTAGAATGACCTTGACACAGATAAACGGGATGTGCATGAAGAAGGGTTGTTGTTGACGTCATTTGGGATAACGAAATTTCGTTTCGATTCGATATATTGCGTTATTATTATTACTCAAAATACACAACGATATCTTTCTCTTTAGTGACAATCTCTTCTTCTTGCTCTTACTAACTCTTGTCTATCTTGGTTTTCTTTCTATCTTTGTAATTGTTTTTCCTCTGTTGTTCTCAATAATTCTACTTCTAACTCCTCTACTCTTACTTTCGGGGTACCTCAGGGTTCTATCCTTGGCCCTCTTCTATTCATACTCTATACCTCTGAACTACCTCGTATTATTAATAATTTTTCTTTCACTAGTCAACTATACGTTGATGATTCTTATATTTATACTTCTTGTCCTCCATCTAATCTCAATAGATCTCTATGTCTTTCTTCAACAATCGCTTGGTCTGACTCTACGTGTCTTAATCCTTCTAAATTTGAATTAATTTGTTTTGATAAATCTAAACACTCTACTTTTCCTTCTATTATCTTACCTGATTCTAAAAAAACTCATCAAGACTCATCTGTTTGCAAAATTCATTGAGGAGCGCTGTTGAATATCGCGGTAATAGCGCTTTATAAACTAATTGACTGACTGATGGATTGATTGTTTGGTTGATTGATTGATTGATTGTGTCGCGTAGTTTCTTTTCCAAAATGGTCATTTTTCATTTATTATCATTTTTAATTTTCAAGACGGCCGACAGCCCTGTTTAGGTAGATTAGTGGCATTTCGTGGTTTTGATGGGGGTTTTCTCTGGGAGACGACCACCAATTACGGCCTGTCGAGACTAAGGTGCCTCCGTGTTGATCTTGATAACGATGGATTAGTGGACTGTGTCGGGTCCGGTTATTTGAATGGATTGATCGCTTTCAATCCGAGGAATGGTTGGTTGGTTGGCTGATTGGCTGAATGATTGATTGGTTGGTTGATCGATCGATCGATCGATCGATTGATTGATTGATTGATTGATTGATTGATTGATTGATTGATTTACGAGCATATGACTGGTAAGCAGAATTGTTTAATCAATCATTTGATGAAGTTCGATCATTCAAATTAAACTGTCAATCAATCAATCAATCAATAAGTCAACATTTTACTCCTTAATAATAATAATAATAATAATCCCAATAATACCAATAATAATAACAGCATTTATACGCAGGCCATATAATCTGGACGTCAGCTAACAGCCCCCCTGAGCGCTCGGGCTGGTACAATACCGGCCTGGAACCCGTATTCGATCTGACTCGAGACGGTATCGACGATTTCGTCCTGATTCAAACGAATACCGAATATCTCTTGGATCCCTATCCCAAAATTGGGAAAGCCGTCATTGGCAGTCGGGATTTCGGGGGCGTAGGAGCCAAGCCGGAGGGCTCTGGCAGTGGAGAGGTTACCTTTAATAAGGTCAAGAATCGGAAAATACTATCTTAATTAATTAATTATTAATATTAATTAATTAATTAAAAGTTAAACATGTAATGACAATTTCAGACTCTCTCGCAGAGCGTGATCATGTTGATTGACGGCTCTTCTGGCCGCCTCATTGGTCAGCCCTTTAAACTAGGTCAAGGTCAGGTGTCCTTGTTCCCGCCCACTGTTTACAGCTTCAAGGACAAATCTGTTTACGTTCTGTTCGGACTTGGTGGTCGAGGCATGCCAGGTAGGATGGTGGTGATGATGATTATGATGATGATGATGAGTGGGGTGATGTTTGTTGCTGAGTTAGATGATTATGATGATGGTGAGGACGATGTTGATTGGGGTAATGATGATGATCCCAACAACGATTACGTTTTAATTATTTATTACATCATTTACAACAAACAAAATTCTTCCTTACAGGCTCTTTAAGCGTTATATCATTACCCGACCTATATAAGAACACTTCGTTAGTTAACTGGGCTAGAAAAAAGATGACCCTAGATGACCTGACCCAATTTCCCGGTGGCTACAGCCAATGGCAGGCGTTGAAACGTGAAGAAAACGGGGTCATGCATTTTTATAAGTAAGTCATGTGATACAGATGGTGATGATGATGATGATGGTAGAAAGAATTGTAAGTAATTTCATTATCGTTGTTATCATCACCACCATCATCATCACCATCATCGCCATCATCATCAGAAGTCTGACAGACGGAGTGATAAACTCACCACTCATTTTCGACTTCAACGACGATGACGTGGACGATATTTTGATGACGTCATGTGACGGTCACGTGATTTTATTCAATGGCGCCGATGTCAAGGTCATTTGGCAGAAATATTTCAGCGGACTTCACTCTGCAAGGTCTTGATATTCTTATCTTGTATATTCATTGTCTTTTATTCGTTTATTTTTTCATTCGCTCATTCATTCGTTCATCAATTTATTCCTCCAATCATCCTTCATTCATTCAATCACTCTATAATTATCTAAACTATCTCCGAATAAATTTAACGATATGATTTTCGATGTTTTTGTAAATGTGTTTCCTTTTCGTTATATTCCTTCATTTGCTCACTCATTCACTTTCTCACTCATTCATTCATTCATTCATTCATTCATTCATTTATTCATTCATTTATGCTTTCATTCATTCATTCACTCGTTCACTCACTCATTCAGTAAACCGACTCCAGTACATTTTAATGATGACAGAGTGGCAGACGTCTTTATCAGTTTATCATCTGTTAATGGTGCGATATCGCCTGACGGTGATCTAGTGAGTGAATAGTTGCGATGATGTCAACAACAACAACATCAATAATAATAATTATTATTCATTCATTCATTCACTCATTCATTCACTCATTCATTCATTCACTCATTCATTCACTCATTCATTCATTCACTCATTCATTCATTCATTCACTCATTCAGTCATTCACTCATTCAGTCATTCAATCATTTAGTCATTCTGTCAGTCGTTCATTCACTCATTCATTCAGTAAACATTCGTATTAATATAAATATGAATAATAATAATAATTATTATTATTATAATTATTATTATTATTATATATTCTTTCAGGATTTAATACTAGATGGTGTTAATGGTAACAGTCTCTGGTCTAAAAGTAGATCATCATCATCGTCACCATCATCATCATCGTCACCATCATCATCATCGCCACCATCATCATCGTCATCATCATCGTCGCCATCATCATCATCGCCATCATTATCTTCGTCATCATCATCGCCATCATCATCATCATCATCGCCATCATCATCATCATCATCGCCATCATCATCATCATCATCGCCATCATCATCATCATCATCGCCATCATCATCGTCATCGTCGTCGTCAGCAATCGTTTCTCTAGTTACAGACGAAAAGAAAGGCATCAGAGAGTTAGTGATGTTTTGGTCTGGAAACATTATCACACTGGATGATGATGACGATGACGTCATTACCACCACCACTACCACTACTACTACGGCTGCTTCTACCACCACTACTACTATTATCGCTACCGCTGTTACTTATACTGATAATATTGATAATGATGCTGGTAGAAATTATGATGATGATGGTGGTAATGATGATGATGTTGTTGCCGATGGTTTTCGAGATCGTTATCATCATCGTCGTCGTCATCATCTTCGTCCCTCAAGAGAGAGTGATAAAGTGAGTGGGAATTTGTTGCTGCTGATGATGATGATGACGACGATGATGATAATGATGATGACGACGACGACGATGATAATGATGATGATTTATTTAGTGATGATGATGATGGTGACGATAAAAAATGAAATAATTCTCCATTCAATATATATCAGGCTATTGGTAAAAGAAATATTGCGCCAAAGAACAACAACAATAATAAAAATTATAATAATGACAATAACTATAATAATATAAATAATAATAACGTTAAAAGTAATGATAATAATAACAGCAACAACATCAAGTTCTTGAGATCGCCAAGACGACAAATCCAGCTGACAACGGCAATAATAAAAGACGACAACAACAACAACAACAATAATAATAAAAATAAAAATAATTACAATAAAAATAATAATAATGATGATAATAATAACAAAAATAATGTCTCTAACAACAACAAAAACACTAACAGTGATGATGATAACCACAACAACAACAATAATAATAATAAGCAAAATAATGTTAACAGTAGAAATGATGATGACGGTGACGACGATGATTATTATAGTCGGTTGTTTTCTAATTATTACGATGATCAGTCTTCTAGGAGGTTGCAACATATCAGCAGACATAAAAATAAAATTAATAATAATAATAATAGAAATGGTTAGCATACCTACGTGTGTGTGTGTGTGTGTGTGTGTGTATATATACGTGCGTGAGTGTGTGTGTGTGTTTGTGTGTGTTTGTGTGTGTACCTGTGAACTTTTGACCTTTAACAAAATTCTACCATACATCAACAA